ACAGACATATATATTTTTTGTTAAAATAACATTTTTTTTTTTCTGGAGACAAACAAAACACGTGGCTCATGGCTGCAAAAACATATTTGGCTCAGCTTCAAAACGTTTTGTTTGTTTTATAGGACCACATCTTTAAGCCCATTCTCTGTAAACATTATGTCATTACACACGTACTACTAGAGTGAGCCGCAAGAAGACAGACAGATAAAATACAAGAATCAGACTAAACCAATTTCAAAACATAAAGAAATGGGCTTTCAACCAAAGCCGTTTCTGTATTTAACCGGAGTCAGAAGTGGTATGGTTTTCCACAACCAAAGAGCCATGTCAGTGCCATGTCACAACACCGCTAACAGTCTCATCCAGGAAACAGTTCACCCTCCCTCTACTTCTTACTGATGCTTTGTGGAGGATAGCAGGCAGATTAACTACAGAAATCATATCATTTATCCAACATCCCTGCAAACAAATGCCATAAGACCACCAGCTTCATTTGATAATATTTTAAAACAACTTGCTGCTTCACAATTCAGCCAATCTGATCGGTACCAGCAGCACTGGGAAACTAGAGTTACGCTCTGCATTTGTTAATTATATTGGATGATTTTGTGGAACCACAGCTATACACAATGAGCTACTTAAACTCTGCGATGGTAGATGTAAAGATAAACAGCAGTAGGATGAGAGATAGTGCGTGAATGTTATTGAAGTTATGTGGTCATAAATTAATGTTGACATTCTTTGCTTTTATTGTGTTTTTGAATTAAATCAAGAAGATCAAAAACAATACTAACGCCAGGACTTTAAATATGGTGTTTAGAATATTTTGATTGGTTGTTTCCCTCTATACAAGCCTGTCTTGAGCTCCTGGAGAAATTCCCTTTTTTTTCTCTGGTCTAGCTGAAATTTGGACTCTCTGAAGAAGCAGCTTATTAGTGCTAGAAGTTGAACCAGAATTTCTAGCAGTGGCAACGCCAAAAAGAAAAAAAAAAAAAAAAAAAAAAAAAACTGGAGCTCAGCAAGGATTAGCACCGATTTAACCTCCTTTAAGAATTATCTGTTACTGGCAATTCAAGTGTTTGAATAACAAGCAAACTGCTGGGATTAATGAAAGCTTATGGGGCAACAAGGAGAAAAATATCCATATTTAAGAATGGTGGCAGTCAGCTCATTCAAACCCTTTTACTGGAGATTCATCACATCGATTTGATTACAGGAGAGCAAAGCCCATTAACATCTGCTGATCCATCACTTTCACGCATCCATCATGAGGTAGAAACTAGGATGTGATAGTCCAGCCAGCTTCCTTTGCATGATTTTCTGGGTGCCTTTCCTAAAGAACCGGGGTATCAGGCACTGCTTTCCACAGCCCGATATCACATCTAACGTTGTTTATGCTCAGTCTAATTAAAAAGCAGAAGGCTACTAAAGAACTTGTATTACTCAAGTATGACAATTACAGGAAATGTCAACCACCCTCCTTTTCCCCTGACTTTACATTAGTAACAAAACAGGTTGAAATAGAAAAGCCGGGTGTGGGCCGACATGACACGACTGACTTCAGTAAAAATACCAAGGCTTCACAGTAACAACAAATCCATTTTAAACTTAAAAACAAAAAATTTATAAAAATCATTCTTTTCCTTTTTTTTGAAATACACCTGTAGCTTCAACAGTAATCTATTCTGTGTGTTATTACAGTTTAGACTAACAACTGCTAAACATAGTCAGCTTCCAAGTTAATTGCTCAGAATGTTGTTGCCATTTTGTTGGTTGGTTCTTTACAAGGTAACAACTTGAAATTTGCTGGTCAATATGACAACTTGACTGTTTTTCCTAACAGAAAACATGTGAATACAGTGACATCAACTATTATAACTAATGGAAAGTATTGAAGCCTATTTTATCCTTTTAGCCAGTTAGAATATGCTCCATACAGATGGAAAAAACTGGGGCTAATCAGACTTTTAACCTTAAAAACTATATGTCGAAAACTGTAATGGTTTTGAAACCCCTTATTGCTTACATCTTGATATACCTTCATGCCAGGTACCGGCCCAGGTCTAGTAAACATGGGCCATCTGTTTATACTTGACTTAAAGAATTCATACTTAACACAATAGTGGTTGAGTGGTTAAACGCAAATGTTTTTAAATGAATGGCAGCAGGGCTCCAAAGCGTTTCCTGCAGCCCTGTGATATAATCATTGCCAGGGTTTGGCTTTAAACTGCAAAACTGTTTTGATTACACCCAATAAAGGGCAGACTTTGGCCCAGCCAACATTTGTCACACTCATAAATAAGCACACCACCTGGAAGGGCCTTTGAGGCAGAGATGGCCAAAAGCTGTATGGGTCCCTAATCAGAATTTGATTTGGGGGTATTCCAAACAACATTAATACCCTCTATATCAATGTTTAAACGTTAACGCATTGTACACTCCAAATATAATCATTACAACTGAAAGTCGTATTCAGGTCCAAATATAATCACAATAATGACTTTACAACCAAATAAGCCACTCCTTTGTCTTCAAGTTGACATAGTTTTAAGTAGCTTGCCCTCTTTTCTTCAGTTTAGGACACAGTCTTAAAAAGTTAAAGTTCTACTTTTCCCATGTGGGAAACCATACAGATGTGGATGATTCTGACTCAATCAACAAATATCAAAACTAGATTAGTTTAAGGTTAATTTAGGGTCTAACGCAATATGCATGCCGAAGGCAAGACGCGTGAAACTGAAAGGTAATCTTTTGAAACACAAGAAACTAGAGCACACTAAAAACCAAAAGTTAATGACACAGTTCATTCCAACTATTACTGCAAAGGATGTGCTGCCTTCAAGAGTTGTAGAGAATCAGGGTTTTTGTGCTATGGCGCGATCTCCTGATACAACATCGCAATTCACTGAAATGACAGCAAGAGTGATGGGATCATCAAGCAAGTGAAATATCTCCAACATGGGATGCATAGGAAGAAATTCCCGCAGAATGCGACCTCTCGGCCACTGCGCATCTTCTGATGAGTAGCAGCTAGCACGCTGTGGCTCCCCAAACAAGAGCACACGTAAAAACATCTGTATGCATAGTGTGTGTGTGTGTGTGTGTGTGTGTGTGTGTGTGAGGTCAATGTTACGCAACCTGATTTATCATCGTATCTTGGCTTTCTGAATCGTCATCTAATCGATATGCAAACAGCCTAAAAATTTCCACCCCTGTTCCTGGTATTTTTGGTGTCATTCCTGTACAAGTTCAAAACATATTCGACTAACAAACATTTAAACATTATTCCTCATCTGGCTTTGCATGATTCTTCCAACAGTGAGTCACCTCTGTGTGAGAAGGATGAAATGTGTAACTTCAGTTTAAAGTTTTACCGTATGAGTGTACAGTAGTTATGGCTGGAAATAACAGCCCATACTAAATAAGTCCCAAACTCAAACAAACTCTACCTCATCTTAAATGGTGTCCAGAAAATGTGTCGTCTCTAATAAATTATGAATATACGATATCTTTATATTTTCGACAGTTCCCTAATTTTACCCCCTTAACACATTGATATAATAATAATAAAAAATAATAATAATACACAATTCTTTTTAAGTTTTCATTCTTCCTTCCAAGCGTTTCTGTACGTTTTACAAACCGTTTTACTATGATATACTTTAGCCGATTATGGGGGATACTTAAACCTATAAGGGGAAAATTGATCCAAATGTTGTAGATAAAATATTTATAGCTAGTGCCAGACATAAATCAATTATTTTCACCTTGAATCATTTTAAGACAGTAAGGATAACCTTCACTATATGGATTTATGATGAGTCAATTCACAACATAAGTTAAAAGTTAATAAACCTGTAGATGTTCTTTAAGAAAACAAATCAAGACTCTGATTTCTTGCGTTGAAATCATTGGGGGAAAAAAGCAGAAGAAACTGGTCAAGATGTCAAAAGGTTTTTTTTTTGTAGGAAGAATATTCAGGTTCAGCAATTCAAATAATTATGCGAGATACTCAAAAGAAAGCTTCTTTTGAGTTGGTATGAATGAACTGATGTCATATGTGATATTAAACTCCAAATATTAACATATAATTAATAGTTCAAAACATTTTAAGTGTCAATAACATTTCAACTGTCGGAGAAGTGGTGACTGGCATCAAGTCCCTTTATGGATATCACCAGAGATGAAGTCATGTTTGTTTTGTACTTGAGCCCTGCTAATTCCTTTTTCTGTTTACTCCGATTAGATGAAAACGGACCTGCAATTTAGACATTTAATGCACATCTGACCCTAATGTGGCTCATTCTGATCTTTCATTTTCAGCTCAGTTACATCCTAACCTTGACCAAAATGTCAATGGGCTAACTACAGAGCGCATATTTTCAGTCAGTAAATGGTTATTGGATTCACAGTCCTCCTGCGTTTACAAGCTCCTTTTACTCATTAACAATGCCACAGCTTGAGGTCTGCATGTAGCTTTAACCCTTAAATCAAGTCTGTTGCTCAATACATGTACTGTTTAGAAAGGTGAAGCACAAAACCAGCTGGCCTTGACTGCAATTTAACAAGTACAACTTTAACAGGGGGAAAAAAAACGCTTTTACCAAGCTTTGTGCGAATAAAAACATTTATGAAACTTGACTTGAGTGACAAAATCAGCTACTAAGTTCGTGTTTGCCTTGGGCCGGCTGTGCTTTAGGTGTTGGTTCCCGTCATAATAGCGCAGGCGGCGAGTGGTTTTGTTTCCTCGATACGAACAGGTCACAGTTATTCAAATCAGGTGGTTTTAAACACAGGAAGCCACCTAGGACTTCTCCCTGCTGCCAATCTCTGCACTAGACTCCTAAAACGGAGAGAGACACTTCAACCACTTCTCCCCTCCAACTTCACCCAGGTGGGAAGCCCCAGCACCAGACCACCGCCTCCTCCCCACAGAGGTATTTCTGATGAAGGAGGAATGCAGGCTCCACATCCCGCTGCCCTCCCCCAGCCAAGCTTACCGAGAAGCAACAGTTTCAGCTCCCGGCGTGCGTCCCTCTTATCCCGGCGGAGCTGCCTTTCGATCTCGTCGTTGATCCGCCTGGCTTCTTTCGCCTCCTCGCTGAGGCAGCACGCCATTATGGATTCCAGGGTCATTCTCGGTCCTTTTCCTTTTTCAAACACGCACTATAACTCCGCTTGTCCCCCCCCTCTGTATTGAGTCATTCAGATTTCACATTTGTCGCGGAGGGAAAACCAGAGGCCTGTGAATGTCAAAAACGTCCTCATACAGGCCGGCTTTAGGTGATAAACCGCTGTTGTAGTGGGTCTGCGTGTTCAGACTGGAGTAGAGACGGAAAATAAGATATTTGAGAGGAATTATTGGAGTCCCCCACCCCCTCCCACCCTCTTCCCTGTGTTTCAGTTCGCTTTCTGGGCCTGCTGAAAGCTTCTAACAGAATAGAAAGCGGGTTGAGTTGAATTTTTTTGCTCGGTCGATGGGTATAATCTGATCTTCTGTGTCTGTATGATCAACAGATCTTTTTTAAAACACACCATCCGCACTGATCTGGATAGGTATTGTCATCCGTACTCCGGCCAGGCTCTTTCCAAAGTCCTCAACGCTGATGGTATTTTAAATCTCTGAAATACCTTGTTTGTTTTCCAACTCGCAGTCTGCGTTGGCGAGAAAAACACATGAGCGAGGTTGTCCGTTTATTTTCCAATGGCTCCACTCCCGGGCGTGGTAAGGCAGAATATGGCGGACTTTCACTCCGATCCGCTAGGCTGGGATACAGTACAGTTATATCTCCGTGTCAGCTCGGTAAACCAAAGAAACCACACAGAAAACGGCATTTCGCACGGAGCTCTCGCTAGTCGCAGCGAAATTATGCCCGAGTGTGACCTCCCCTCCCAAAAAAGCGGCGCACGGGTCCGTGGCTCCGCACCGGGGAAGAGGCGAAAGGAACAGGACGCCGTGTCGCTGGCTTTGCCCCCGACCAATCTTCTTTTCCTCAATTCTCTTCATGTATTTTTATTACAGAAGCCATCCACTCCTCCGTGGGCTGCGTCTGGCTCCCGTCGACCAGGGGGGAGTGTCGCCGTCAAGCAAACGCCGCGATGTATTAATAACGTCCAACCTGTAGAATAGAAGAAGCATGCGAATCTACACGCTTGAAGCCCTCTGAGTTCCGTGAGCAATTCCACTTAAATCCTGTTTCCAGGGCCGTTTCTAGAATGTTTTGTAAGGGGCTTGTCGGGGACGGGAGGGGGGACGGGGGGTTCTTAAACCATACAAACAGAAAATAATTTTCCAGAGTTTTGCTTAAAGGTGATTCTCAGTAAGTGAAAATAAGTGTCTAAATAAGGTGATTAAGTTTTTTATTTATTTATCTTATTCAGCCCAAAATGTATGTGTTCTTTTCACAGAGTGGCATATCAAATGTGTTTCCCCCTTTTTTTTTTTTTTTTTATAACCAGTGTGTTCATGTACTGTGTGTGCACTGGGCCAGACTTTAGAAAGAGCTTACAAGTGCAGTACCCCAGGGCCAATATTTGGGGTGCCCCAAAGATTTTTATTTATTTATTTTTTAATGAATGCATATTTTGCAGACATCGTTTTCTATATGAGTCATAAGCCCATATGAGGTGAGTTGCAATAATATTTTGAGATTTTTATTAAAATAAACAATACTCAAGTATTTGAAAATAATGACGTAATAGCAATCTTTTTTTGGAACAATATGGAGCTTCGTGCCCAGGAACATTAAATCGACCATCATCAGTTCATACCCGGTTTATGTATTTTGGGGGCAGGGGCAGATGGAAACATGAAGTGTAAAATTTCCTAGATGGTGGTGCTGACTTTGGATTTTAATGAACACACTGGACCAACACTGGAATCTGTCCATCTTTTCTCCACATTCCAAGACTTTGATTTCCAAGTAAAATAGAATGTTTTTGAATCAGAAAAGATTCAAAAACCTTATGAATGACTTCCTAATTTAAATGGGTTTTGATTAACCTCTCAAAGCTGATGTTATCTCTGTTGGTTTCATTTTTTATTTCTATTAAACTTTGTCCTTCCACTCAACTTTCCATTAATATGCTTGCATATATTTCTTTGTGATGCCAGTTTCTTTAGGAATCCAAAATAAACCTTTGCTGGCTATATGTAGTAACATTTTCATTTTTGTAAACATAAAATGTGGCTTTTTATAAGCTGTGTTTCAGAACTATCAAATTAATCAAATATGTTCATTTTAAGGTATTTTACAATGTAAATAGAACCTGGACCTATTTACTTTGTAAATGCCTTACAATGAGTGTTGTAGATATTCTATATACAAACAAGTTGAGGTTAAATCAAACAGTTTATGTTCTTATGATCAAAAGTATTACAGTTAAGATGGCTTAAGGAGAAGACAGAAACTGAACTTAATGTCTGTTCAAATGGAAGAATATCAGCATCAGGAAAAAACAAAGTAAAGATAGCCTGCACAAAGCCTTGCTGAACATCAAGAGACTAAATGCTTGAAGAAGAAAACTACATTTTGCTTAGTGGTTAGAACAGATTTTTTTTTATTTTTAGGGATTACTTGGTAATAGCCTGGTAGAGGTTAACCATTAACTATCTCTACAGTGGAAACAATAATAGTTGCACCAGTATTCAACCAAGTAGCTCTGCAGTAAGCTGTGAAGGTCATTATGTTCTATTTTTGTTGAGATGGCGCAGTGTTCATTCAGCTCCACAGCCAGTGGAGCAGTCACTGATTTGTAGTCTATCACCGTGGGTCTGTTTAAGATTATAAGTAGATCCTCACAATACAAATTTATGATTTACAAAATGCTAAAAGTTTTGTAGCCTACCATTAATGGCACTTGGGCCACCTTATCATTTGACAAATTATGTAAATCAAATTTCCATTTCTATGGACAATAAAGTTTTTTATCTTATTTCATCATATTTTTAGTTGTACTAAAGAACTGGTATCAACCTGCAAGAAAAAAACAAAGCTAATTAAATGTGTTGTAGTGCTTTTAAGCCATCAGCAAACACTAAAAGAGTTCTGCAAACTCAGAATAATCTTTGTCTTAAACAAGATTGTATCCAAAGGAGAACAGTGAATAAGTTCAAGCTAACTGAAGAAGACAACAGTAAACCAGGAGGAAGAGGTGCTTGTTATCATTCATTTATCCCAAAAGTCAGCACATGAATGTGGGAAAAAAAGATTTTAAGCCAACTTAACTGTGTCCCAGTTGCAAATTGGAAAAAGAGCAAGATATGCTAATTATTGTGCTTAGCAACAAAGTACTAAGCACAGCAAGTATAAACAAAAATAGACATTAAATCACAAAATGACCAGTGGCCCTAAAACATGAAGATTTCAAATTCTTTTTGCAAATTATACCTGCCACATCTCTCAGGCTAAAGAGGAACTGGCCATCTGGCTTATTATGAACCAATAGTTAAAATGACAACATTCTGGATGAGATGAAGATGAATTACATCTGAGAAGGCACCATTAATATTGTCGTTAAGAAACAGCTTTAGGAGCAACAGAAGCTTGTAGGTCATAAATAAATGCTACACCTTTTAAGTTTTATTTGTTAAAAATGAGCCTTCAGAGCACAAAATAGTTCAGTGCAATCTGTTTCTTAAAAGTTTTAGCATACTATTTTTGGCATAAAAAAAAACATTACCTTGTAGCAATTTGTTTCATTGAAATATGTAGTTGGAGGCCGCTGATATAAAATAATTACTTTGTTTTTACCCCACACTTTTATTTTGTGAGCAGTTACAACTTCCGCTTGTTCGCGTCCACGTGTCACGTGACTCCAGTTCCCCTGGATACGGGAAAGCGTCTAGCTGCGAGGAAAGGATGGATGTGTAGTAGTTCAAGGGACGTTTCAGTGCGGTGTTTTATACAGTTAGAACGTCAAACTATCATGGCCATTTGTCGGGGAAGCGTCTCTGTCGTCCCAACAACGACTTTATCAACTTTTAATACCTCCAACTTTATGTTTTAGCCGCGCCGCTCTGCTGATCTTTCTTAGCATGGACGATAAGGATTAGTTAGCCTCAGCATCACCCCAGTGACCACACCTCCTGGTGACAGGTAAGTAGAGGGAGTCTTCAGAAGTGGGTTTGAAAACAAGAAGTTTTAACATTACTATTATTTCAAATAACTTCAGTTAAATTCCCGCGGGAGATGTTGCATAATGACCGCCAGCACAGTTCATAGCGAGGTGTTTTCGACTGACTAATTCCTTGTGGCGGTAATGATGTGGCGCTAATAGGATTGGAGCTCTCTCCTTCCTGCCGCTTGTTTGAGAAATTCGTGGGGATAATGAGGGTGGAGCTTAGCCGTGCGTGCGTGGGAAAGTGGTGTGTGGGGGGTTAATCTCTCACAGGGTATGCAGTGGCAGTGATATAATGACCATGCATTATGAGTGCATGTTTTGCAAGTGTTTGATGTATATCTGCATGGTATAATCACACCTATTAATTGGGCTCCATTTGCTACATTGATGTAGGAAAGCCTGACCCCCCCCACCCCCAAAAAAACAAACAAAAAACAAACAAACAAACAAAAAAAAACAACAACAACTGACATCACAATTTACATCTTGAAGCCAAGCAATAGTTATTGTTCAATTAGTGGAATGATTATTTTTTTAAACCTCAGTTGGATTTTCTGTCTTTGTAATTCAGTGTGGCTGCAGGTTTCTGAGCAAACATGGGGAAGCTGCAGAGCAAGTTTCGCAAGAGGTCTGAGCTGTACAGGTGGGTTATGTTGGACTGTTTACAGTCTGATCCTTCTTGTTTTATGTAGTTCTTCAAACTATTATTACAAGAAAGTTTCCTTGCTCCTTAGTAGGCCTGGGTGGCTTACCAGTCTCAACGTATGCCCAAGTTTTTGGTTTGAAGACCACATATTTTTCTATCGTCCTGTTCCCACAGTGTAGTATCCATATAATAACATTACAGAGAAAGTGTCAGAGGTAATATTACTGGTGGTGAAAAACAAGGACAGTCATAGTGTTGTAACTAAATGGGGGCAACCTATCAGTTTTGTTACTAAGGCCGACATACCTGCTAAGCTAGCTGAGCAGATAGACAGACTAATTAGTTAATAGTTTTTACACTTGGACAAAAATGAATATAATGTGTAATAAGCATTACAGCTAGTTTTACAAGGTGTTTATTCAAAGCTTTTGTTTTTCAAAATCAAAATATTAAACACGTTATGTAACATTACCATAGCTATTGTAATATGTATGTTTTTAGAAGCAGTGAGAACAATTGCTGCTTTATTCTTTTAAATAAAAAAATAGGTCATGTCATGCATTTTTGTTGTATATGTTGGTGTAAATATTGTTGTACTGGGAACTCTGGTGTGTTTTCTCGGTGTTATCATAGTCGTCAATAAACACAAACCTGGTCTATGTAAAAATGGAAACACTTATTCTATCTAAAAACAGTAGTAGTTGACCTAATCAGTTTCCAATCTGTCAGCTGAAGGAGTGCAGTGCTATAGGGACACAAGCCTCTGTTTTTCTCTTTCTACAGAAAACTCTAAAGGATCCCTTTTTTTGATCTTCGAGATCCTGGAGCTGCTAGTCTCACTATGTTTTGCCTCAATGGAACCCAAAGTTTTCCGCATTTTAATCCACTTAATCATTTAGGCAAAACAAAAGCTCCTAAGCTCAGAGGATAAACTTGCATTATTTACAAACACAACAACTAACTGAGCAGAGACAAATTAAATGGGATATTTAGGGACGTATTTCTAGCAGTCTTATTAAGGAGCAGAATTAATTTAAAAATGTTTACATCATCTGCATCATAGTGTTTTTGCATCGGTGTGTGATCCATCCGCCAGAAACATGGCATGGTGTGCAGTCAAATCATGGTTATTTGTATAGCAACAAGGCAGTTCAAATTGCTTTACACCATAAAGACATGATATAGTTACCATTTGTAAAACAAGCCATAAACATTAGACTTTGTCAAATGCCATCATCAATATGTTGCTCCATGTTCCACTTATTACTAATCAAAGGCAACTCTTAGCAGGTGGGTTTTTAGCCTTAATTTAAAAGAGCTCAGTTTTTCAGCATCTTTGCAGTTTTCTCGAAGTTTGGTCCAGATTTGTGGTGCATAGCAGCTGAATGGTGCTTCTCCATGTGGGGTGCAGGGTAGAAGACAAGAGATTGTTAATGTATTTTGGGAACGTGAGCAGCAGCGTTCTGAACCAGCTGTAGTGTTGACCTAAAAACCTGCAGTAACTTCACCGCTACAGAACCAGACAGTAAGAAGTGTCTGGCATTCAAAACAAATTATTTTTTAAAAATATTCATTACATTATTTTCCTAAAAAGAAAATTTAAACAACCAAATCATCAGACATGAACCCGAGAGGTTTGAATAGGTTTGTGAACTGTATGATGCTGTTTTGAGATTATCTTAATTTTGAAATATTCTTGGTAAGCTATAGTAATGGCTAAAATCACACATTTTTCCAGCATCTAACCAGAAATACCCCCCAAAATAATTATCATACTTACATACATACATATTTTGTGCAGATCACCTCAAGGGGAGAAGGCTGAGAACACCTTTGACAGTCAGGTGTTACAGTATGAACCTGCCCACTATGGATCCATCAACACTGTGACCAATCTCAGCCCAGACCTGTGTGTTTCTGGTGGCAGTGACCAGGTAGAGCAACAGATGTTTACTGTCTTGGTTTTACAGGATTGATCAAAATATAAGTGGCAGTACCGAGTGTGGGAGTTATAAATGTTGTTGTGTGATGCTTTGATAATACCTGGAGCTAATAAGCATAAAATGCCTGCCTCCTCTCCCGTAGGCCGTTGTGGTGTACGACTGGAAACAAGGCCAGATGTGTCAGTCCTTCCAGGGTCACAACAGAGAGGTTACCAAGGTAAAGTCAGTGGGAAGGGAGCAGCTTTAGTGCAATTGATAGCTGTTAAAATTTTCACACACTGATCAACGGTCTTCATATTTCCCCCCAGGTGCTTTGTTATCCCGGCAGTACATGGATCTTTAGTGCCTCGCGGGACAAAACCGTTCTCATGTGGGACCTGAACCAGGGAGACGAACCGATTCAGGAGTTTTGTGGACATGAGCTGGTTGTCAATGGAATCGCTATCAGCCCTGGTACCAACTTTAAGAACACACTCAGTTTCCTCTGTCATTAAACAATATTTAACTTTTGTATTTATGTTAAGTTATCAGTCTGCATTTTTTTTTTTTTGGTCAAAACAGCAATTTATTATAGAAATGTATAGGAGCATTATTTCAACTGGTGCGACAAATTTTGAATGAAATGGCAAATAATAATTATTCCCACTGCTGTTGTTTTGAGGAAACTGCAACTTAGGTTACGAATTTCTGTACTTCTGGTAGCATTTGTTAAATCGAATTAAATATATTACATAAAAGGCAAATTTTAGATTTTAGCGGTGAGGATATTTCTCTAACCTGCAAAGATTGGATTGGAAATTACAAACTGATCATATGCATAGGGTAAAATAAGAACAAGTATATACTAAGTAGTTTTTATGTTTTTCTGTATTATTTGCAGAAAAAAAAATTGCATTATATATTCCCTGCATAACATGGTTATCTAAACTTAGTTTTGGGGGATAATAAAATATGCTGCATAGCTGATGCTGGTATTTTAAATTCTTTGTAGATGGAAGAAAACTTTGCACTGGCTCTCGGGACAACTGGATGTGCCTGTGGGATATAGAATCTGCAAAGTGTGAACACAGACATAACATCTCGAGAAACCTGGTGAGAGCATTAATTCGTGCACCTAATGATGCACCTAATTGCAAATATGATCTACGTTCAACTAATTTATACCATATATTTATATTTTGATTTCTGTAAGGTTTCAGCTTTTCTGCGTATTTATTTGTTTCCAGGTGACTCATGTATGTTGGGTGCCAGCTAGCTTTTCTGTAGTCCAGACCTCAGAGGATAAAACTATAAGGTACAGCAAAGCTCTGTTTGTTGGGATGCATTATTTTTAGATGACTTGTTCAAATTTAATGAAATTCATCTACAGTCCCTGCCAAAAATGCATAATCCCATCTCATGGAGAATGTTCAGTCAGTTATATTACAACCGTTTTAGCCTTGGTCTAAATATTTATTGTACATTAACTAAAAACTGTGTGTTTGCTTGTCTTTTCACATGTTTTGCTTGTAGGGTGTGGGATAGCCGTTCGTGGCAGGTGACCAACACCTTTCCAGCTAAGCAGTATATACAGACTCACTGTGATGTCTCTCCAAATGGGAACTACTTGGTGTCCAGCAGCAACGGCTTTGGAGGCCAGGGTTGTGAAGCCACGGTGAGATCAAGAGAGGCACTTTCTAGATTTTATGGATTAGATATGAGTTAGAAACAGTCCACGTGGCTTAGGATGATGATTTTTTCCCATGTGTGGTGAGATGTTTCAGATGTTCTTTGTTACTGTGCTACATTCCTGAAACTGTTGATTGCCGCATGCAGTGAGGTGTTTGTGTGTTGTCAGCTCTGGGACTTGCGTCAGCCTGGCTGTAAAGTTGTGGAGTACAGAGGTCACCTGCAGACCACAGCCTGCTGCACATTTCTACCTGTGTTTTCTGGTGGCTCGGCTCAGATAGCAACATCCTCCCACGACTGTTCGGTCAAAATCTGGGATCAGAATACAGCAGGTAGGACCCCAGCTCCTGGGTAAAGGAAAACCCTTCCTGAAGAGTATAGTGTCAGTTTCTGACACCTGTAACACTCTATTTTCTGCTGATTTCAGTCTGTTTAGGGACATTGTCCGTGGATGGTGCTGGTCCTCTGGTTTCTTTGACTCCCACCGATACCAACAGTTTGCTGTGTGCCAGCTTCAACGCCGGTCTCCAACATATCCAGCTGGACCAAGGGTCCCTCCAGGCGCAGGGTTCTGGTGCTAGTTCAGGTGGTGCTGGAAGTCTGAATATGAGAGTTGTGGCACGATTCTGACAGCACCAAAGCATATAATGGGACTTAAATGGACATCAAGGCATTCAGAGAGCAGTAACGACATACTTCCTTTTTAAAAACCTTTTTTATGTCATCATTTAATGATTTTACCGGCATTTGTGCTTTACCAACCTGCCATACCAAGAAAATGCCAGAAGAGCGATGGATGGGAAAGGTGAGCAAGTGATGTGTGAAGTCTGTAGTTTAAATCTACAGTGCAGTGCAAAAATGATCAACTACTTTACAACAACTAGTCGTTGTAAAGTTGTCACTTTACAGCTACAAACCGTAGTGTGTTTTATTGGGATTTTACTTAATAAGGTGACACAACAAAGTTTTGTTAAAGTTAGTCATTTCAGTTTATTTGAGAAAAATACTTTTATTATGTTTGTATTATTTGTTTGTGTCGAAATGTTAGAACTAGAGAATATTGAAAATGCCAGCTCATATGAACTTATTTTGTTCTTGTATAGAAAAGGTTTCCTGTTGATACAGATTCTTAGATTTTTACTTTAAGATGCGCATAGTTATTAGCCATAACATTTGAATTTTTAAGCAACTATGCAAAATACCAGTAACTGACTTTTTTTTGATCAACTGAACATGAAGGGAAAATGTGCAAGTATAAAAATGAAGATGTTGTACAGTCTTTTCAGATGCTTGCTTCACATATTCGTTATTAGAAATCTAAAGCCTATTAGACCAGGCATGCAGTAAATTAATTTAAACTTCTCTCATGTTTGAACTGTACACCTGATCCTCCTACTAATGCCATCTTAAACAGGTGAAACAAACTTGTTGCACCAACATAACCAGGTGGAGAAACTGAGGAAGCAGCAAGAAAACTCTGCATGTCTTTGTCTAAAGCCGCAGCAATCAGAGAAGCTTCCGACTTCTAATTATTTCTCAGGGATTAGAAATAATAACCGTATTAGAATTTACTGATTTTTTTTGTTAGTTCGCTCACTTGCCAGTTTAAGCATCACATTGATTTTGTTTGTACTAATTCTTAAATCACTCACTGATTTTGTGTTTGATACCAGCTGGTAAAAATAAAATCAACTTATAAAGATAATTATTTGTAAAATGTATTTCATGTCAACTTGTTTTTTTGCCATTGTAATTTTACTTTTATTACAACAATTTTTCAACAAATGTTCTGTAGACACCTGCTAGAAACTTGTAACCATCTAGTTATTTTGATTTTTGGTTTCACTTTTGTTGAGCGCTTTGCATCATGTAATATGTCAGTCACAATAACCACATTTTCTTCAATCTGTGGAACCTTTCAACGCAAATATCAATTTTGTCGCACTAACACATTATGTATTATCGCCCCCTACTGTCAGAAAAATGTAATATCTTAAAACCACCTTTGGTATTATAACTATGCAGGAGCATCTCAATAAACTAGAATTTTGTAAACAGCTAAATTGACTTAAGTAATTCACTTAGGAGTGAAATATATACAAGTTCGATACACAGTTATATTTTTTAATTTAATTTAAATTAGAGATTTTAGCAATATCAGCTTAGTCTCTTACAGAGATGGACCTGCAGCGTATTTATCCCAATTAAAAGAAAATACAAAATGGAAGGCAGACTTAAAAGCAGACACTGCAGGATGACAGCACAGGCCAAGTTTCAGATTGTTTAGAGAAGGCATTGACAGAATGTACATCACAGAAAACAGGAATATGTCACTCTCTTGAAAATAGTAATAAATCAAAGCATTAGTTTTCAGTTATACATGTGTTTATTCAAGTCTGAACCTCATCTTTGCTCAAAAAGCAATTTTTCCACAAAGTTGTTCATAAAGACACATCCAAACACAAAAAAGAAATCAGGAGTCAATTACAGAAGATTTAACATGATAAAGAAAAACAAAACATAAAAAGAGTAAATAATAATAAAAAGCCTAAGATCAAATTTTCTTAACAGTAATAAAAATTGGCACAAGATATAAGACCATTTGAAATAATAGATACAGTGGGGTTATAGTAATTTAATGGACTTAAAAGCCATTCATTATACTCTAAACAAGAGAATAAACATCTGGGTGAAGTAATGAATCTAATGCTGACAGACGCCAACACTGGAATCCGTTTGGTTTCAACCAGCATCTACAGTAAGTGGCTCATGATAACATTTATAATTAGTGGCATGATGTTGCACACAATACCTTACAAGCTCTCAAGTGTTTTAAAGATGTGAAAGAGCTTCAAATCCTCACCCAGTTGTAATAGTATTATACATGTTTAGGTGTGAATTTAAACAGATTATTGCAATTCTCCACAGTATATTTGGGTAACACCAGTCAACAATAGTTATCAGTCACCAAGTACCTTGATAAAGCACACATTTAGCTCTGTTCCTTCAGAAATATAAATGTAAATACAGATTAATCTGTAGCCCATCTCTCCAGTCAGCTGCCTAAAGAGAAAAGAAGTGTCTGATTCCCACATATGTACCTCCATTTCAGGGACAATACAGTGATTATCGAAAGAGAAAACAGTGATTGTATCCAGTCTTTTTTATTTTTTTTAAACCAAGAATGATCATTTGGTCAATAAATCCCAGTCTCCAGTGTAAATAAATAGTGCAGAAACACAAGCTGCATTATACAGTAACATAAACCAAAAACAATCGATTTCTGGCTGATCTCATGACATTCGTTAAAATCTTGACTCAGGAAGCAAAACTGAAATCTGCAAAGATAAAGGCAGCATGCAACAAAATCTCACATGACAATGAACAGTTCAATCACTTGGGTGTTTTTTTTTATGTAGCAAGCAGGCTGGGAATGTTTTGGCAAAACAAGAAAAATCTAAAACTTGGATGTAAATGATTGCTTGCCAGCAGTGAACACCACTTTTAAGCCAACCCCCCCCATCCAACCAATAACGTATTAATGAAAAAATAAATAAAATAAAAAATTACCAAACTATTAGCTTATGTTTGGGGTATAGGTTCGGTTATTCCTGAATAAATGCCAGTGGTGCCACAAAATGTTAAGACTTTTAATTAGGGAATATAAAGGACTCTTTGGGTTGTGATATTTCTAGGTTGCTATATTACGAGTTTCCTGACTTCATGCATGGCAATAATAAACCCAGCCTGTCGGGTGGAGTCTCTCTGCCTGAGATGCTAAAGTTAGCAGAGGGACCTGGAATCATCTCAATGACAGAGAAAAATGCAGTGAGGAAAATGTGGATCTATCCCACATCACATTGTTTTCTTATGGTTTTTAAAAATTGTGCAGCACTACCAAACCTGCTAAGAAGAAAATCAACCCTGGACTTTCAAAATCAAGAATACAGAGCAAAGTGATATTTTTAACATTAGCTCATGATCTATGGGTCAAGGAGACTTGCACTAAATTGCAACTGGCAACAGGAATGGTCACTTATACGGATTCTTCTGCAGGTGCCTACAAAAATATTCACCCCTGTTGAACTTATTCACACTTTGCCCCATTTCTACTACAAACATGATGGTGATGCATCATGTTGTAGGGATGCATTTCTTCATAATGGATAGAGAAGCTGGAGGAAAATGTTCACCTTTCAGCACGATAATAACATTAAACATACAGCCGAAGCTGCAACAAAACAGTTCAGATCAAAGCAGATTCATGTCTGAGAATAACCCAATCAGAGCCCAGACCCAAATTTAAAAATCTGTGGCAAAACTTGAAAGTTGCTCTCTCATCCAATCTGGCTGAACTTAAGCTAGTTTTGCAAATGATGACAAATTTCAAATCTGTTAGAGATTTATCATACCTTCAGCCAAAGAAGCTTCTACATGCTGTGTAAGAGACTTTAAGGGTTCAATTTAAATTAGATTTTTATTTGTTAAAAAAAAAAAAAAAAAAAAAAAAAAAAAAAAAAAA